GAGAGACCCCCATTAAAAAGGTTTGGCGATTACCCACCGTCATTTAAAGGGAAATGGCGCTAGTTTACAAAGCAATCTAATAGGGGAAACTTCTTATACGCCTGTTTGATATAAGGGCTTGTTTGCGACTAGCAGTAGCTGGCAACGGTCTTTGACACATCTATTAGCTGAAGAGTAAGGCTGGTCTGTTTCCTCTCGTACCATGCTTGTTGAAAGCTCCTTGCCTGTAAACAGAATAATATAAGACATGATCAATAGCTCTTACAGAAGGCAATGTTCATTGACGAGGAATCAGCTAGAGAATCAGCAGTTACTCTTCTTACTGTTCTCGAATCCCCAGCTATTGACTCAGCTGCTATTGAATCCAAGCCGGTTAGAATGGACCCTTTTGAATGGGAAGAGGAAAGGAGATAGAGCCACGAAGAAAAGAAAACCTTCATAAACACGAGATGAGACAAAAAGAAAGAGAGATCGATTCATTAGGCCTTCTAGAGATCGAGATGTGAGAAAGAGTCACTGACTTAGGGTATCAAAAAAAGATAGTACAGACAAAACCATTAGAGCTAAGTCCGGATAAAAGGAAGAAGACGGCGCGTCAGAATCAGTTCTTGGAGGAAGACTCGCTCTTGTCTCTTTCCCGGCAATGTCAGATCAGGAAGAGCCGGCTTTACTTTATTATTGTCTTTCCTTTATTCTATGCTCTTTAGTGAGAAGAATAGATAGATAGAAAATGGGCTACTTTCTTCCTTCGAGTTTGATCCCCGTACTGTTCCTATTCACTCTTCCTAAGGCCTATGAGAAGAGATTTTTTCTATTCACGTACAACTTTCCTTCTTGTCCATGCGCTATGAGACAGATTCACAGTAAGCAAGCTCTTGCTTATCCCCCCTTGACATCTCTTCATGCTTGGCACACTAAGAGAGAAAGACAGGATGTCGATTTCTTTTCTTCCAGCTTCAAAGCCCAAAAAAGTCGTCTTTTGTGGCATTGATGTCTGATTGCCTATTGATGGACTTTCTCGAGCCTTTTGGTGTATCTTTTTTGGTAGGTTTTTACTAGAAGAGGGAGTGTCGAGTCACATAAGAAGCGATTATTATTGTTGAGGGTGTATCGGCTCTTAGTGTGAAAGGCTTTGGAAAAATCTTTTGCTCTAACTCGGATAAGGTTCTTAAAGTAGCAGCTGATGATCTCTTGTTCACTGTACGTACTGAAAAGAACAACACAAAGCCGTAGCCAAATAGATCTTGCTTGAAGAAAGGAGCATAGTTAGAAAAGAAAGGCAGAAAGACTCCTTTCATCACCCATCTTGGCCATATGTTTCTCTGAGCCGCGAAAGCTCTCTCTTCTTTCTCTTACTTAATTACTAGTTTGTTGTAATAAGAAAGGTGTTGCTATTCAACGATGGCGCAAATCTTCTAATCCAGAAAAACTCACTTAAAACTTTCTCCTTCACACCACCTGACTAGTTCTCAATAAAGACCAAGGCAAAGCCCCTTATTTCGACTTCAACGAATTCTAAGGGAAGTGCTTATTCAATTGACCATGAGGCTCTACCCTTCCTTTCCTTACCGAATTCATTAACAGCGAAAGAGTCTCGCGCCAGGAGCGCTGCTGTAAGCAGTTAAGAGAGAGCGCCTTACTAAATAGGGGCACTTAGCTCTCCCACAGAGGTAAGTGAAAAGCTTGTAAGTTCTGATTTAAGCTATGGGCGGCGATATAGAGGAATGAGGTGGTCGTACCGCTTCTGGGACCACAATATGCACCACCAGGGGCTGTTTTTCGATAAAAGATTGATAACCCAACAAAGTACTGCTTTTCTTCTGTGATATTTCCTTCTTCGTTTGTTTTGGGTCGCTCCATTACTCACTCCGCTATAAGAATTGAGTAAGCCGATCTCGACTTCTCATAGACTGAATTGTCAGAATCTGCTCGCAAACAAACTTGCTTCTTGCCCATGTACTCGTAAGGTATCCCTAAATCTTTAGCCTCTTCTTGATCAGGGTTTCCCCCTTCCTTTAGTATTTATAATAAATAGAAGCAGATATAGTGAACCGAAGGCCTTTTGACTGTTATAGTTTCTCTCTTGGACTCTTCTCACGAATTGGATTCGAACCACCACAACCAAGAAGGCCCTACTTGACCAAGCAAATAGTAGATCGTGAGTTATTAGGAACACACACACCTCTATTAGGGGATCGGCTCGAACGCTGAACTTACCACTTTGAGCCCCCGATAGAAGGCTTTCCTAACAAAAGATGTCTCTCCAAAAGTCTGAAACCTAAACCTCCGAATCCGAATAATGTGCCGTGCTGATCCTCTAAGAAAAGTTAAGTTCTGCAGAGTCACAAAGATCTTGATCCCCAAAAAGACTAAGGTGGTTCCAAGGCGAGGGAGAGTCCCTGATGTGCCCTGTACCTGGTCCTTGCTATCTCTTCTACGGCTTTCCGCCTCCTCTTCAGAAGCGACATCCTTTTGGTGACTTTATGGGCTAAATCGAATGAACGAAACCAAAGAGTAAGATTCGGGAAATCGGTAAACTAACCTACGGGAGTCTTCAAATCCGGTGGAACCGAAAGAACGCGAAGAAGGATGGAATTTGCTTAGTGTGAAAGGCTTTGGAACTTGCTTGTTCTTTCGCGTCAGCCCTTGCTTGTTCGGGGTAGGGGATTCTTTCCACTCATCAACAGAATCGGGATCTGCTCCGCTACATCTACTTAACGGCTTTTTTTTTCGTACTTTCGAACGGCTCTTGAAAGTCCCATAGCTTAGGGGTTCACTCCTGCTATTGGTTCAACCCTCAATCTTGGTAGTCGAATAGTGAAATACTAAGGTTAGAATGAGACTAAGATCAGGGAGAGGATGGAACGAAGTCACTCGACCGATAGTTTTATTATATGTGAGCCCGAAGGTTTATTATATGTTCGATCGTAGGGAGAAGGGCGAAGGAACGAATTTGCTCGCATTTTAATTAGAACAAGAAGGAGAGGAAGGGAATTTATGAGCCCGAATGTTTATCATATGTTCAACTAAAGGGAGAGGGGAGAAAAAGAAGAAGAGCACAGAGAGGAGGAACTATCGCCCTAGACAATCTTTCTACGATGCTTTTGGGCGACCTCCAGCTTCATTAGTTGGGTGCAGCTCCCCATGGAGGTCGAAGGTTGATTGCGTCCCAGGAGTTCGACGACTACCGGAGCCCTCTATAAACTATGACCAGGTCTGGATTTAGGCCCTGGAAAAGTCCAAGCCTCGTGAGGATCTCACGAATGGGCTTGGACGAATACCCGAAAACTCCTGATCGCCCTGAGCAGAGTACTCTCAGGTCTTAGCCTCTTTTCTCAGTTTCCGAATGACACGACTGGTCCTTAAAGGTAAGGCACTTTCATGAAGAATTTGATGGTCTATCCTCGATCCTTCTTTCCTTATTCGGAGGGTTGGTTAGCTTTCTCATCCAGCTTGAGATTGGCTAGATGGGCTTTTGCTTTTTTTATTCGGAGTTCTTTCCGTCTAGTCTGGTTTGCTTCTTTGCGTTCACTCGTGGAGTTCTAGTTAGGTAAATTCTTTGACCCTGGTCAGTAGACTGGCCTTTCCTCGGCGGTTGGATCCGTGAGTTCAATCAAATCGGATTTGGTATCGTAGTTCAGAGAAATGGCTGCTTTTAGGTATGATAAGTGACCCCCCTCTTTCTTAAGTCATTGAGAGAGGGGTTAGCTCCGTAGATGTTTCAGGAATAATGGCTACCAATGACTTTCATTTGGTTAGAAGTCTATCATACTGTATCGAAAAGAATGCATGTTCATCCAGGCATTGAGAAAGAGGTCAATCATCTCCTTTTAAGTTGGAGGCGGAGCCACCTGAGCTGGCAAAGTCCTCCACCTCTGGGCATACCCCCGTTAAGGTCTCGTTTCTCTTCATCTCCATACTCTCAAGTTGAGACCTGGTGGGCACCACGTCCTGGTTAGACTTGTATTCTTTCATGAAGGAGTATGCCAAGTCGTTCCGCTTCCTCAACTTCGAGTGCTCAAAGGAGGTGTACCATCGCAACACAGGCCCAGTTAAGCTATTCTAGAAGCTAAACACCAACAGCTGATCATTTCTTATGTGGGTCGCCATCTTACTACAAAACATCATTAAGTGGTTCATGGGGCCCCGTGTGCCATCATATTTTTCAAACTCTTGCATTTTTCACTTTTCTGGGATCACCACATCCGGTATTAGCCACATGGCTGCTGCGTTGGGAGTAAGAACATTTGCTGATTCCAGGGCTTTATGCCTGGCTTCCAATTATGAGTATTTATTGATGGCATTGTCACCATCCTGGGAGTTGGATCCGTACTATTTTTCTTCCTCATACACATTGTGTGTAGGAGTAGGATAGGCAGCAGAGAGGGAATACTGAGTGGTTTGAGGATAAATTGTGGAGTGGGAGGTGTCTGGAAAGAAGGGGCAGCGGAAAAAATGGTAATGGTTGGTTTTACTGGTGCAGGTGGTGGTGGAAGGGTTTCTTGGGTAGAAGTGTACGGATGTGACTCAAATGGCAGCTCTCTCTATTTTGATTGATCGGTGCATCGGGGTGCACTGGTTAACGCGGAAGAGTAGTGTTTAACCATAAACAATATATACCTAGGGTGACCCAGATTCCTCTTCACCAATGTATGTGAGAGCTTTAAATAAGGCCGAGAGAGAGATGGAGGAAAGAGAAAATAGATGGGTGGAAATCCTGAAACTTGAAAACCTTTTAAAAAAACCTTGTTAAACGAGAGACTTTTTCTTCTCGACAGCGAAAAGATGGAAAAGGGGAAAGTGCCATAAATTATGTATTTTGGTTGTTTACAGTTTTGATCAATGTAGTTATTTTTCTTCATAAGAACTCCTATGTGTTTTTTATTATTACTAACAGAAATAGAATCCTATTAAATCTTTCTATTTTCCTTTGACTTACTCATATATCCTCGGAATTAAATTTTGCATCGGAAACCATTCTAGGAGAAGTTCGAATCCATTCCATTCGAATATTTACGCGTTACTGGTTCCCGAAAGAGTTAATATCTCCATTAGCTAAACCCCTTCTTACCCTACCTTTGGACTCGTATTTTGTTTGTACACAATTAACAGAGGCCTTTTCGACATATGTTGCAACACCTTTAATAGCATTCTCTTACTTTGTCTTTCCTTTAATAAGTCATCAAATTTGGTTCTTTTTTATCCCCAGTTGCTATGGGCAACAAAGGACGAAATACAATCGATTCCTCTATTTAAGTGGTTCTCGCTTCTCCTTGTTCATGTTCCTAACTCCTCCCCGGGTAGTTCCCAATGTTTGGCACTTTCCATACTTCGTGGGTGAAACATCAAAAATTTTGCTCCTGATCAAGTTACAACCTAAGATTTATGACTATATTATGTTAACTATTCGTATTTTGTTCATTGGGTCGGCATGCTCCCAGGTACCTGTAATTGGGATGCGTTTGCCAAAACCGAGGGGTCTTTCTGTGGAAACCTCCACGAACAATTGTCGTTTTTTATGGTTTTGCCGCTTCTCATAGCTGCTCTTTTCACACCTCCAGATATTTGGTGCCAAAACGTCGCCCGTTTCCTTATTTCTTTAATAATAGAGTTGGCTATCTTTTGTGGCATCGATTGTACAAGTTCGTGAAGAGGGCTGGACGAGTGGAATGAGAGAAAGCGGCTCGATCGAAAAAAAAAAAGAATAGCTGTTATTTATTTATAATTGAAGAAAAGTGAATCGTCGAAAGAAAGAAAATAGAACAGTCGTGGGAAAAGAGGATAGGCGGGTGACACGCTAAAACACAACACCTAACAATGGCCAAGTGTAACCAATGAAAGGGACTGCAGTATAGTGGCACAAGTAATAAATATCGAATCCACGGGTCTCTAGAGTTACTATTACTCAGCTTCAGTTCATTATCTAGCAAACTAGATTAAGGATTGATTAACTAAACTACTCTACTAACTAAACTAAGTAAAACTACTAATTACAGTTTGGGAACTCACTTAGGTATGATTCCCCCTAGCTCCTCAATTAGGTCCAAGTTGCAATTACCTTTGGTTGATCTACTGATGATTAAACTGCGGAAGATCCTAAATTAGCTTGGAATCTCTTAAGCTGACCAAGCCCTCTCAGTCAAACTACCCGACAGACGACTAGTCTTCACCAGGATAGAAAGCTGAGGCTATGAACACAGAACTCCACTACTGGAATGAATTCCAGTACAAAGCAGTGAATTGATTGACTCTCGCACAACCAATTCACCACTATCAATCAAGGAAGCTCTCTTAACCTAATCAGATTCTATCTATCATAGGTTAAAGCAGAAATCAAGAGAATTTGATCAAGATTCAATTGACTCAATAAATCATGCCTCAATCGATTATAATCAAACAATATAGCATCCAAAACTTCATACAAGAAAGATCCTAACACATGGAACTAGGGTTCCTCAAAACCTAAGTGAAGGGAAGTTACTTCATAGAGAAGAGAGAGACTGCAGAAATATGATCTAGATCTTCAATCTCCATCTCCAAGCTTGATTCCCGAGCTCCAATGGTGAAGAAATACTCCAAAATAGCTCCAAGAATGTTCCCAAGTCGCTCTCTCTCTAGGGTTCGTCCCTTGGGTGTTTGGGAACCAAAACCCAGCTCTCCCTTTCCTTTGGCTCGAATCTGCCTCAAAAACCCGATTTTGGGCGAATTACGGGCTGAATTACGGTCGTAATTCTTCCATGCCCGTATTTTGCCCAAAACACGCGTTTTGTTTATGTTTCAGCGCACCCAAAGCTCCTCTCGGCAGTGAAATTACGGGCATGGGAGGCCAAATTACGGTCGTAATTCTCCTGCCCGTAATTCTTCCTCCTCTCCTGTTCAAAGCTTCGTTTCTCCCTCATTCGGACTCCAAATCAGTCGCCGTTTGAACCCAGACGCTCGTAGTCTCATCCTCTTTCTTTTCATAACAAGCTTGCCTGATTATTTGTCCATAAAGTGAGGTAGAAATCCATTCTTCTTCAGGTCATGACCGAGTTTCTTCTCCCTAATCGCCAATTGATCTCTGATTGACTTGAAACTTGCGCCTATGCTTCACTTTATGTGCTAGGGCCTGAAATGTGACAAAGGAACACAACCTAGCGTAAAATAGGCCAAAGAAGCGATAATGCAAGCTTAAACGATCAAGAAACAAAGGGGAAAACATGTGCAAATATCGAGTCATCAGCGGGACAGACCAAACCCGGTTCGGATCACAGGTCTTTGCTACTCTCTTTGTATAAACAGTCCCAGGGCCTTTTGGAGGTGGGTGCTACTGGCCTTTACTTTAAGTTTAAGGAGAGATGGGGACTTAAAAATGGCGTTGTGGAATGTAGATATCCCGGGAAGTAGGAATGCAAGAACTCAAGATTAAGGGCGAGCACCATGATAGTAAAAGCCTTCGATGGGTCGAGAAGGGAAAATTATGGGCACAATAGAATTGTCTCTGCAGATCTGCCCCTGCACTTTCAACGTTGCTCTACAAGTCATGGACATCAAACCGGCTTATTCTAAAACTTTCCAAGGCCCGCCTCACGGTATTCAAGTTGAGAGAGATAATTTTAACAAGTATAATCGTCCCCTATTGGGCTGTACTATTAAACCGAAACTGGGCTTGTCCGCTAAGAATTACGGTAGAGTTGTTTATGAATGTCTCCGTGGTGGACTTTATTTTACCAAATATGATGAAAACGTGAACTCCCAACCATTTATGCGTTGGAGAGACCATTTCTTATTTTGTGCCGAAGCAATTTATAAAGCATAGGCCAAAACAGGGGAAATCTAAGGGCATTATTTGAATGATACCGAGGGTACATGCGAAGAAATGATCAAAAGGGTTGTATTTTCCAAAGAATTGGGAGTTCCTATCATAATGCACGACTACTTAACAGGGGATTCACCGCTAATACTAATTTGGCTCAACATTGCCAAGATAATGGTTTACTTCTTCACATTCATCGTGCAATGCATGCAGTTATTGATAGACAGAAGAATCATGGTATACACTTTCGTGTACTAGATAAAGTATTAAGTCTGTCTGGTGGAGATCATATTCACTCAGGTACCGTAGTAGGTAAACATCGAAGGGGAAAGAGAGATCACTTTGGGTTTTGTTGATTTACTGCGTGATGATTTTATTGAAAAAAAAATCGAAGCCATGGTATTTATTTAACTCGACGATTGGGTCTCTCTACTAGGTGTCCTGCTCGTGGCTTCGGGGGGGGGGGGGGGGGGGGGGGGGGCATTCATGTTTGGCATATGCCTGCTCTGACCGAGATCTTTGGAGATGATTTCGCATTACAATTTGGCGGTGGAACTTTAGGTCACCCTTGGGGAAATGCACCCGGTGCCATAGCTAATCGAGTAGCTCTAGAACCATGTGTACAAGTTCGTAATGAGGGACGTGATCTTGCTCGTAAGGGTAATTCAATTTTTCGTGAGGCTAGCAAATGGAGTCCTGAACTGGCTATTGCTTGTGAAGTATGGAAGGAGATTCAATTTGAATACGAAGCACCCGATACCTTGTAATCTACTAATTGACATTTGTTCCCTTAATTGAATGAATTGCAATTAAACTTGGCCCAATCTTCTACTAATTGACATTTGTTCCCTTAATTATATGAATTGCAATTAAACTTGGCCCAATTTTTTACTAAAACCAGGGGCGGAGCCAGGAATTGAGGTTCGGGGGGGGGGGGGATTTTCTTATTTTTACTATCGAAGAAAGGTCAATTATGTGAACAAATTATTACATTATATGGAAAAAAAAATTGTACGATATTATGTTCCAAACAAGTGATTAAATTATATGAATAAAAAATAAATCATGCATTTTAATGTACAACATGTCTTTAAATATCTTTATATATGAAAAAATTCATATATATATATTAATGTTTGAAGACAATTAATATAGCCTAGAAAATTTATATGAATTCAAAATTTAGAACCAAATTGGTACATGTAAAATGAGTATACTTATAAGAAAATATAAAAATTTAATTACTCTTTGAGAAATGTAAACAAAAAATCTGAAAACAATCATGTATATATTAATGTTTGAAGACAATTAATATAACCTAGAAAATTTATATGAATTCAAAATTTAGAACTAAATTGGTACCTGTAAAATGAGTATACTTAATAAGAAAATATAAAAATTTAATTACTCTTTGATAAATGTAAACAAAAAATATGAAAACAATAAGGTAATGTACTCCTCAGTGACTCAAGAGTTCTAATCAATGGGGAGCAATTTTTTTGAACGAAAATGTATAGACTAAGGAAAAACCAATGTATAAAACAAATACTCCTAGCAGGGATCGAACCCAGGTCCATGGGTTAGAAATGTTAAATCTGCTTCGCTTGACTGAATACGTACTGATGTCTCATTTTTGCTCGCATATGTTTATCATTACGTACATTTTACACGTGATTCTCGAAACTTCGTACAAAATTATACGCAGGTTTCTAAATGCTCGGGGTAGCCGGGGCCCCCTCGAGAGCTCACCTAGCTCCGTCCCTGACTAAAACGATTGAGCTTAATACAAAGATTCTAATTCTATTCTATATTTTTTTATAGATACATACTTAACTAGATATACAAGATCTTAAATACAAAATGGAAAATGAAGCGATTTAAACCTTTATGTTGTTGTCTTCGATTCACTGTTAATTCTAAGTATATCTTGGTGTATTCTTTTATATCCTGCATATAGGTCGAAAAAGTATCACAACATTTTTCCCTAGGGCAGGATAGGGCGTTAAACTTTTTCAATTCAATTGAAGATTAAAAAAAATCTCAAACTTACATCAAGTTGTGGTAACTTCTAGATTGTATCTCCTTTTTTGGAGACAATTTCAGCATGAAATGAATAAGGAGAATCGGAGACCAACATTCAATTCGAGATTATCCTGCGGTACCAATCCGATGCGATGAGGAGCAACATACATAGGGCAGTGGCATCACTTGTATCCTCTACGGAAGAAGTTCCCCTTCAAATTCTACGAGAATTAATCCCAAGGGTTCTTACCTTTCGGGTTTTAGGCAAAATTCGCATTTGATTAAAGAATGTCCAGTACCTGTTCTCTTTCTTTTAGAACACTACGCTCGCTTACACTTGAGCGCACTCCTATGTTGTTTGTTGGCCAGACTTGTTCCGTTATGTCCTGCGGTCGTTTGGTTCAGGTACCTTAGACCGGCCTCTTTAGCCTCATTCTTTTCAGCAGCTGAAAGAATATATCTTGAATCATTTCACCTTTCATGTTTCATGTGCAGATTTCTACCAGACTTAATGATTTCATCAAAATGATGCACGTCAAGGGCCAGGCCTTCTTGAATGACATGGCCTAGGGTATTCGCTTGCCTACAACCTAATTCTTTCCCATTTCCTGTTTGAGGTTTATACTTTAAGTTTTTTTTTTTTTTTACTTCCTTCAGAAGCTTTAGGACTCCTTCAGCTAGGTTATATAAAAAGGTAGGTTTGACTTCCATATTGGTCGATTTAGCCACTAAACTACCTCAGTAATTAGGATTTACCATTCCTGCGTAGCTTCTAGGATTTAGATTCCGTCTGCTTGTGGGATAAGACCTCTCTCTTGGGTTTAACTACCGGTTGGGTTAAGTCAATGGACTCAACCATTCCATTTGAGTTGTCTATGGTAACTTGATTGTCTATGTACATTGAACCCTTGTTTTCGAAGATCTCTTAAGAGAAGAAAACAGCTAGCAGAGGGTGTTGAAGTGTCATACCTTCATGGATTGATCGACTTCCGTGTACTGATTCTCATCGAGATTATGTTCGTATTCAGCAAATGTTTGAATCTTCCGCCGACATATATTTTCTTTTGTTTTAGGACATGAAATAGGTAATGCGTATGGGAACGTCGTAAGTGGAAGGGCTTACCCCCTAAGAATGCACGATTTACGCGCTCGCTAAAGATGCTCCTATTCAAGCCGGTGAACTCTGCTCGTGCTCAATTACATCGAGCCTCGCCTACTACTAGAAGGGATGTCGCATATCAGCTCTTATTTTCGCAGGTAAGTTGTTTACCAATTTAGCAATGAAGGAATTTATGGTGAAGATGTCTCAGATCTCTGCTATCACTGGAATCGTTTGTTGTTAGTAAGCAGTATTACTTAGCGCCCGCATAACGATGGAGTTATGCTCTATTTTATTCCCTCCCTCCCCCTTCGTCTATCATTGCCTATCTAAGTGTTGGCTTTCTTTAATGACGCTTTTTTTCTAGGTTCCGAAAGTGCTTATTTCCCCTTGAGGAGGACTGTATTCAATACAAGATGATCAGACTTGAACACTCGACTCTTCTTCCCGGTAGTCTCAATAGGATAGACTGATACCTTTTTCAAGGAATCAAAGAGGTTTAGACGTCATTCTCTTTGTCACATATCCAAATGTTATTCCAAGCGAATGAAGAAGGCCCTAGGTAATAGAACAAAACAAGCAGCTATCAGTTAACGTAGACGACCGAAAGACAGCCTTTAACGCTTTAATAAAGTAATCCTACTGGTCACAGATGGTCTAACTAAAGAACATTGTATAGGAGCTCATCTGCTTGCGCAGGAGATCATTAGGTTAGTAAAACACTATGGACACTTACACACCGCTCTTTAGGGTCATTGCAGTTGCTTCCCGCCACCAACACTTACACACAGCTTCAAATAACACATTTAACTTCTAATAACAAAATGGTACGCATAATATTCAACACTTGAATCCACGTGACAGGCTAACCAAGCTATACATTCTATAGTGTGATTTCCTCTATGGTAGCATATCACCACTAGCAATGGCGAAACATGATCCATAAAGAGGTCATCTACAAACGATACTGGGGTATTCGTCCAAAGAGTTACCTGGACTCCTTTAACTTGCATGTCTTGTATGAGCTTGATAGAAACCGAGAGTGAGGGGGTGAGGATGGGCCGGTCGACTGGTTGGGCCGAGTAGGAGTGACTATTTTGTTATTTTCCATTAAACTCATAAAAGGGGTTCTGTACACTCATTTGGGAATCAGGCAATAGAATATCAGAAATCCCTAATTCTGTCTTTCTCCTGTTCTTCCCCAATTCTCTCAAATCCCTAATCTTCTTCTCTTCAATCCCTAATTCTCAATCCCAATTCTCTTCTTCTCAGCAAGCATCTATCATTTGGTATCAGAGCCAACATGAGTTCTTCGAAACTCAATGATCCGGCATGGGCTCGTACAATGCAGCAGATCGAGTTCACGTTATCTGAACTCAGGCGAGAGGCTCGTGACCGCGGGTGGACAGCAGCAGCAGCGGCGTGAGAGAGGAGCGACGAGTGCGGGCTGTGGGCGCGCGATGGAGGAGGAGCGCGCGAGGCGCGCGTTGGCAGTGGGGGCGGCTGGTGGGCCCCGCGGCGAGGTGGCTGGCGGGAAGGACGGCGTGAGCGCCGAGTCGGCGCAGGTCGGGGGCGCGGCGCCGTTCAGCCGGGACGGCGGCAGCGAGCCAAGGCAGGGGTTCAGCGACGCCGTCTCTCTCTCTCTCCACTCGGCAACCGGGCTGCCTACTCCGGGCACGCTTCTATTTCAGGCCCAAGTAGGAGAGATGACCGCGTTGACATTGGTGGATAGTGGCGCATCGCTCAACTTCATTAGTCCAGAGCTCGCCAAGGCTCTGCCGCTGGCGCCGAGCTCAGTGGAGAAAGTGGTGGTTCGGGTTGCGAATGGTGCGCCTATGCAGTGTACCACGGTCTACCGAGGGCTTGCTCTGGAGTCTGGAGATTCAAGGCTTGCCTGTAACTGCTGATTTGTTTGTGTTGCCCATTAGGGGGTTTGATATTATTCTGGGAATTCCCTGGCTCTAGAGCTTGGGCCCGACTACCACAGATTGGAAGAGCCTGACCATGCGATTTAAATGGAGGGATAAGGAGTGGCGACTACAGGGGCTCACGACTGCTCTGGGGCCAATATCCATTCATGATGGCGCTGAGATGGGCGAGGCGGACTTCCCCGTGCTGTGTTGGCCCGTGGAGGCCA